TCACTGTTTTTCGTTAATAACTCGTTAACGGTGCCTCGGAGAAAATTTTTGTAAAGGAAGAAGTTGCTTCAAATGATCCGAGGAACCAGCCATTTCCGGATTGCGAGACATTTTTGGGACACCCTGTGGACTGTTGTAAATCGATGTGAAGACAAAAGAAGTGTGAAACAATGCATATGAAGACGATTATTTGGTTCAAACGATGAGCGAGTGAGCTACTAGAGCAAGCCACTATAGTGGCGCGTCGTCCAGAGAGATGACATCCGCGATAGCCACTATAATGGCGTGTCGTTCTGAAAGATGACATTCGCGGAAGCCACTATAGTGGCGCGTCGTGCCTAAAAGGTTAACTATAATAGTATAATGATTTTCACAGAAATAACAGGTACACGGGGTTCATGAATCATAACTCGTGATTAGAATCCGGATAATAAAAAGTGCAGAGAAATGTGCGAATTTACTTCTACACGTACGCTTCGTGGATATTTTATTCTTAGCTAGTACATCAAATAAAAATATGGAAAATTAATGTTTTGCTTCAAAATGAAATAGAAATACAATGGTTGGGTCACCCATGACCCTCGGTGTACGAGGTAAGTGTTAAAAAGGATAAATTCTCGCATATATCGCTACAAATATACAGGGTGTCCCAGGTTTTAATGTTCAAACATTGTCAGTGTATCCTATGGCACAAAGTAAGAAAAAAATATTATGTAAACATAGGTCATATAGAGCTTTATTAATAAATAATAACAAAAAATCAGAATAGGAATAGTAATCGACTTGCTGTTACTGTGAGCATTGGCTTGAATATACAATCAGCACATGCCGTGTGTTTATGTAAGCTGTGTTTATTAATACATTTCGAAATGTCTACCGTTGTTGACAATACATGATTGACATCGATCGAAGATCGAATTTATGACCGTGCGATTTTCGTTTCTATTCTCTTTCATTTCATTGAACGCATTATTAATCCTATTCTGAATTTTTGTTATAACTTCTTAATAAAGCTCTATATTACCTATGTTTACATAACATTTTTTTCTTACTTTGTGCCATAGAATATACTGATAAAGTTTGAACATTAAAACCTGGGACACCCTATATATGGACATTGAATATTTTTGTAATAATATGATCCAAATATCAATCAGAAGAGAGTTTTTAAGGAGTTGGTTTTATTCAACTTTGAGTTAACAATTTTGTTTATTCGATACAATGGTTGCATTTTACACATGACTCTTCTTTATTCTCTCAAGTATATGTTCTCGTATATTTCTCGTATATAAAAATGTACAATCGTGATTTTTTTTTTAACTAAATTTCTTCTATATGTACAATACAAGGTCGTCGAAAAACTTTAATTGTCGTAAAATTGCAATATAAAAAACTAAACCAAAGGAACAGGATTCTTCTAGAGACTTCACTGTATCGATACCATATAAAAAGAACAGATGGCAATACTGAAAAATATGAATAATTGTTTTTTGAAGTTTGATTAACTATTATATTAATTCAATCTATTTTGTGATGTTGTCATCTGTTTTTCCATACGATATCGATGCAGTAGATTCTCGTGAACAGTTCTATATACTTGATTTATGTTTTTATGCTCTAATTTGAAGTTTTTAAATATTGTTTCTCGACGATCCTGCATTGTGCACATGGTTCACATCATGGCGCGCATGCAGGCGACAGTGGCGCCTCTTGTGGAGATGAATTAAAGCTCCGTTGGGGGTCCGTACAGCGCCAATTGGAGTAGTGATAAAACGCTCAAACTGCTAGTCAAAATCGACCGTCGATAATTTGGCTATCGGTTTGAGCGATTTGCCACTACACTAATTGGCGCTGTACGGACCCCGAATTAAACTTCAATGTTTTTCCAGAAGAGGCGCTATTATTGTCCTAATTTGCACAGTGCAGAGCAGTACAAGCGGTCACCTAAAAATATTAATTGTGGCAAAATTATAGCATACTAAAATAAACTAAGACTAAGTTCAAAAAAATTTGCAGAGTCAATGTCATATAACAAAACAAATAAGTACAATACGAAATATAATTACATACATTGCTTTTTAAAATTTGACTAACTGTTAGTTGTTTTTCTCGTACGATATCGATCTGCAGATTTTCCCGAAATTTTGTGTCTTTGGTTAATTAACGTCTTTCGGCAATCCTGCATTGTACGTATACAAGAGGGTGTTTACCGCTATGTCGTGATAATATTTCGAAACCCGTGGGCGGGCATTTTTTCAAAAATTAAATAACTCATGAACCAATAGCTCAAATTTAATATCCTTAGTCTCAAACAGTTTCTAATAATCCCGTGATAATCCATATCTCAGATGATCATTATTATATTTACATATGGTTTTTTTTTTAAATATCCTACTTATGAACTGTCAGAAGAATTTAAGTACATAATATTGTTGATTTATGTACACCGTATTTAAATTAATGGCAAACAAGTAAATACAAAAATCGTGTGGTTAATTAGAGATTTTTATTATTAGTATAAATGGTATAAAGTCGAATACAATTAACAAAATCATGTTCCGGATGACGGAGCAGATACATTTCAATTGAACATAATTGCTTTCTCTTTTTGAATTATATTAATTTGTGAAAAACTCAGGAGCGACATCAGTGTAGGTATCAGACGATATTTCCTAGATGTTGAATCTGTTTAGATATTATAGAGACACCACACTCCTATTACATCCGGGTTTTGTACTTAAAAATAAATACTATCACCTACTAAGACAGAGGACCTCTTTACTTCTTTTTTTTATACATTTGAAAGGCACGATAACGACTAGGTAGAAGTAAATGATACGCCAGATATTTCGGTCTTATTAAGAAAGATTCCAGAAGCTGGTTATGTAACAAAATAATAGTATCTTTGTTAGTAACTGACAAATCAAGTTTTGTACGATGTGCAAGTATATAAATGCAATAAGTCGTTTCAATCACCGTGAAACATTTCATTAAGTTTGATTCAAACATTATATATTACAGAATAGTTGTCTTGTTGCGTTGTACATATTTTTAAAGTACAGTAATACCCCAAACTTGTATACAGACATTCTTTTCTGTTGATTTTACAAATCTTACAATTGATAACTACGAAACAAGTGCATAATAGGAACGTTCTGTATTTCTTAATCGTTGTCAAAGCTTTTCAAAGCATAAAAAAAAGTTTCCTGATGAAAATGATACTTAAAGCATCTCACGCAAAGTGAATTGAATTGTTTTGTAATAGTATGAGCTCCATTAAATTGAAAAATTCTCGGTAGGTGTAGATAAATTTATATATAAAATCATTTTGTAATTGTCGAAGTTTTTACACGATATAAAATCATATTATTTAACTAAATTACATCATACCTATCTTCTTTTATACAGGGTATACAAAAGAAAGCATTCAATATTTATATGGTATATAGGACACACTGAGCAAAATAGCCTTAGTAAACATAGGTCGAAAAGTCATCGGTTCCCGAGCCCTTCGTATTATTTCCTTGGTCAATAATGATTCAGAACCTGAAAAAATAAGAGGAATTTGTTGGAGCGGACATTCCCCTTGTCCCTCGCGTTGTTTAGTTTGTAGATAGAGACCATACTTTCAGCTTAGCAGTAAGTCGATCATGATACTAGCAAACAAAAATGTTTATATCTCAGAAATGGTTGATCTTTTGACCTATGTTTACTAAGGCTTTCTTACTCAGTACAGTGTATCCTACGTATCATATAAAAATAATGAATGCTTTCTTTCGAACACCCTGTATATTCTCATCGGGAAAGTTATGTAATCTTTTCCCACTCTCTTCTCGCAATAAACAGTACATTTATAAGGCAAGCCGTTTGAAGCGTGAAAGAACTGCAAACCATACGAAATCCTAAATACGTACAAAAACCACTGAATTCGTGTACAAGTTTAGAGGTACTATTGCGTGAAGTACTAATGGTGTCGTGAATTTCACTTTTTTAATCTCATCTTTATTTTCTTAAGCAAAATATATATCAATCGAGACATTTCTCGTATGCATTTCTTATATGTGTGTATGTATTGACAAAACTGGAGACTCACTTATTCGAAATTGAATCTCGTAAAATGTCTTCCTGTACCTTTCAAGCATTTTTAAACGTGACGTTATTATTCTTAAGATTATGTTTATCTTAAGATTACTTTTGTGGACATTTTTTACATAAGGCTACAAAATTCATCTCCCTGTGGATCGGCCTGGAACAGAAAGAAGAATCGCATTTCAGTAGAACGAATTAAATTCATCTTATCGATTAACCCAGGCAGCATAACGCGACTACATACAATTATTACTTCGTGTTCATTAGTTACAACATTTTTATAGCACAGATTAATGAATGTTAATCGATTGTTAATCGATTCCGTTTGATCTGCTGAAGAAAATTAAATCGTGTGTGTTCATTTGTGCATGCATATAAAGATGTAAATATGTAAAAATAAAGATGTAATACACACACCATAATGTGTTCACGCATGTATATGATGATTCTTACACTATTAACTATTAATGAATGATCAATAGAATTTAGTGTCAAAACCTAACTTTGATATGGCTGGTTAGCAATGTACCATAGAAATACCATTGATGTCACGTTACACGTGGTACCAATGATAATATTTCAATACCGAAAGTTTTATTTATTAATTATATACCTAAAAGACAATGTGGTTAACTAATGAAATATTCACATTTTACGATTACATTATCTTGATACACTCATGATGTTTTAGTGAAGCGTGAGCATGAAAATAAAATGCTGTGAGAAAGAAAAAAAACGAAGCCAAATAATTCTTTGTACTTATAGAGCGAAGTACATTAATCATCGTCACCTATTTTAACGATTGATAAGTTGAAAACAACTTACATAAATCGACCCATCAGTAACGTTCGGTCGCTCACTTAATTTGGGTAGAGATATCTTCTCTATGGAATAAGAAGACTGCGTTGATAACATATACCCCGAATTTATCATATAATTATTTCTCATATATTTAACAATAAATCTAATAAGACAATCACAAAACTTTCAAAAACAAAATTTATATATAAAATTCTTATTAATACTCTAAAAGATTAAAATATTATATAGCCACATTGTCTTCATTAATTAAAGTCATAAAAAACCGAGGAGGCCGCTCCCAACTTTTAAATTAGCTTTCACTCTATATGTTTGCGATTAATTATGAAACTTGTAAAACAAAAGATATTGATTCTAAGGAATTCAGCATTTTAATATACGTCAACTATGATTAAACTCAATTATATATGCACCAAAACTGAATTATATACATACCTCTTGATGGTGAAGTTCCTCAGAAGTTCTGAAACCTACATTTTCTCTATGCCGAGTCGAAGCTGTAGCCAATTGCTGTCTTTTACATTCTGAAGTGGCCATTTCCTGTTTACAAATGAAAGAATTATTAACATTCGTTATAACCATAAACATTTATCACCATTACATCGATAATCACATACCGATCCTATTCGTTATCACTTACTTCGCCTTCATTATTAAGAAGTGTCGTTGTCATAGTATCTGCTATAAACCACTTCTGACTCTTCATAACAATATTTGACGGTGGTTCGTGGCTAGCGCCAGTATCTGATGACCATACCATTATTGTTGCCCCTGGTTCCATTTTCGCAGTACGGTGGAACTTAAATACTGTTTCCAACGAACCAGCTTTACGAATAATTTGCCACCCGCTGAGACCTATTTCCTACAGAAAACAGAAACAGTTTATACAATTAGTATTATTGAGAATAATAACCATTTTGCAACTCTTACTCTCACAATTTAAAACACATTTACAGTAGTTTCTCCCTAAAATATTCGGAGCTCGAAATTGGAAACGGTAAATCTGAGGACACTAAGTCGCGTGAAAGTCTTCGTGAAAGAGCAAGAGAGAAAGAGAGAAAGAAAGAAAGAAAGAAAGAAAGAAAGAAAGAAAGAAAGAAAGAAAGAAAGAAAGAGAGAAAGAAAGAAAGAAAGAGAGAGAGAGAGAGAGAGAGAGAGAGAGAGAGAGAGCAAAACTCGGGGCAGTCGGCAAATTTAAAAGCCAGCAGCCAGCATGCAGGTATACATTAATACAAATACATTGTAATATTAGAATAAAAACGATGACTTAACCTTTTTATTTCTAATTTTTTATACATGAAATTTTTTTAATATATTAGTCAGATTATTCCAATTAAAATGACACCAAACACGACATGCTTTAGATTTTATTCATTCATTATACGTAGCAAGTAACTTATTTTATTTAATTACACAAGTTGTTAATTATAACAAAAAAAGCATTAGGAGTTCATTAGTCGTTCAAAAGAAAATAGTGGAATTATGCTATTCGGGCCTACATTCGACGAAAATTCGGAAGCGACATGCAACGATTCGACTACAATTCGAAGGCGACATGTAATGATTCGACTACAATTCGGAAGCGGAGATTCGGTGAAATGAGCCTTTGCGTTTGACGGAGGGTGTGAGAAGCAGCCAATTTGAATATAAATTATTCATAAATTAATTTTTTTTTACATTATTTATTATTAGGAAATAGAGGAAAAATTTCACCGTAGGCCATGATACTAGATAATTCCAAGGATGATACGCAACTAAACAATTTAATGTTCAATATAATTTTGCACTTATCCAATTAATATATGCATAACTATGCATAATATCAATGCATCTTTTTAATGTACAGTTATTATTAATATGTATAACAATGTATTTTACTTATATAGTCACAACGATAATAAAATGAACAACGATAATAAAATGAATTACACATTAAGAATTAAATAAGTAAATGTAATCGAAATTATATCGTGTTTGATATTATATTTGGTCTCATTTTAATCAGAAAATTATCAGCAATATGTTTAAAAAAAATCAGTTTTAAAATGTTAAAACAAAAAAAAGTTATGTCAGAATATATTATAAGTCGTCTTCCGGGAATTCGAATCAAAGGAGTCGCATTGCATACCGCATCATACGCTCGCGACTGACTCTGTCAATAAACGTAAATGTAAACCGACGTAGCAATAAATCACAGGACCGATCTATAGCACAGGTACAATTTCCAGCAACCCGAAATTTGACATTTCAAGAAGAAACTACTATATATGGTAATACTGAAACGTTTCGTTTTATGCAATTCAGTTATAAATGGCATGTTTTATGTTGATCTTACTTTATTGCCTTTGTTAGTAAGTTTCACAAAACGTCCTTGAGAATCAGCTTGTGTAATTTCTACATCCCCTCTGGTTGTCACATTTGTACTGTAATCAGTACTACTGCGCTCTTCGCTTTCTTCTAACAAAGTACGTTTTCGTTTTCCTCCTCTTAGTGGTGTATGTCTTGAAGGTGTACTTCTACCACTCGGTGCAGCTGAAGTAGATTGCATAGGATGAATATTTAATCTGCGAAATTGAATAGAATCTATTAACTGTGGAAGTCTAGAATTTTAAATATTAATTATTATGTACATATTATCGGTGTCATATTTATAAAATCATGTTATAATACCTTGCTTCCTCAGACTCTAGCAGTTTGCGATATGCGGCAATTTCCAAGTCGAGAGCCACTTTAATGTCCATAAGATCCTGATATTCCTGCAGTTGTTGAGACATTTCATTACGTATGCGTGATAATTCTGCCTCCAAGGATGCCAAACTGTCCGCATGTTGTGTCCTCTCATTTTCACGCAGAGTTTCTATATCCCTGCAAACGATATTATGTAACAATTATAAATTGGTACAATGAATTCATTGTACTTCACCTTAAATAAGATGAAGTTGTAACATGTATTATATGAATAATACCTGATGCGTGCATTAAGAGCGGTATTAGTAGCTTCAAGTTCATTAATTTTTTGGTTGAGACCCTCAATCTTTGTTCTTGTTTGTCTCAACTCCTCAACAGCTAAACTAGCAGCTCCACTATTGCGCAAAGCATGAGCTGATAAATTTTTAAACTTATTTTCATACAGTAATTCAATTTCTTCCCTATTAACTTTCATCTGTCCCTCATATTGATCTCGCAATTCTTGCAAAGATTGTTGGAATTTGGCTTCATATTGCTCAGCAAGACGGCCATCTATTTCTGAGATTTCAATCTGAAATGTTTCAAAAATTAGATGTGAATCGAAATGTGATTATAATATTTAGAGACTAAATGGAATTAATAAAATATATATAATTCGGATAAATACAAACCTGTCGCTTTGATCTTGATTCCGTTAATTCTTGTTGATATATTTGATCTTTAAAATTGATATCTTCCTTTAAAGTTTGAATATTGTTTTCCAAAATAACACGCTGTAAAGTTTCTTCACTTAGGCTTTTACGTGCATCTTCTAGTAACCCATTTAATTTCTCAACTTCTTCTTCTAATTCTTTCTCTCTCTCAGCCAATTTTTTACGATCTCCTTGAGAATGATTATACTGTGATTGTAAATCACTGTAACGTGATTCATACAATGCCAAATTTCTTTCTGCAACTTGTAAATCTACAAGTTTTTTCTCTAATCTGAAAGAAAAAATTAAATGTTTAAAAGAGTTATTAACGAACATAAATTAAAGTTGTTATATCATATTACAATTTAATATGTATGTACAATTTAATATATACAATTTTATTTTCAGATCTGAGTAGCTAAAAATTCTTATTTAAAATTTTTGACTGTAATTAATATAGTAAAATATGTTAACAAAACAAATGTTATGCATACTTATGTATGCCATATACTATATTATGTTTGTATGCTATAGTTTTAAGCTCTTTGTTAATGTCAATCATTTATACGTAGCGACTGTATGATTTAAAACATAGACAATGGAACTGCAAAAGGTACGAATACTCGAACAAAATTTCGATCATTCATGAGATTCCGGCAGTCACGAAGAAGTGGTAAGCTCGCGTGTTTCTATTTCAGGCAACGACCCACATCGAGAATTTTTTCCGCCGTACTGACTTGGTTCGTCTTAATATTCTGTTACTCTATAATCTGAAACCTATCAATATTATCTACTCGTATTATTTATCGTTAAGCGAAATATCTACGTAACAATAATGATACATATAAAAATCAGTCAAACAAATATAAAACATGGAGACTTTACACGATATTAATATTCACATAAATAAAAAGGCAGTTTCTTTTTTACTGAACGTAAATTTTAAATATGTTGGAACGTTTTTTCAAAAAATATCTCGTTTGCGTTTCCCACAAGGACGTACGAGTTCTGTCGTCATCGCTATTCCTTTTATGAGGAACGTTCTTTTTTTTATACAACTGCTACAGATGCAAGGTTGACATTATACATTCGCTTCGCGCGACGATATCTGCGAGATAACTAAATTATTATTCTAAAGTAATTTCGAATTATCGTAAGTCCAAAGGAGAATTGGAGAAGATATAAAAACTACAAATTTTTTTCGATTCTCTGGCAATAGATGCAAAAATTTTAATGAAGTGTTGGCTACATGAAACAAAAAAGCGAATATGGCAGGGGGTATTCGTTGACAGAAGACAGAACCCCTAGCAGCGTCAACCAAGATGGCCGCATACTTTTAACCCGGATGTAGCCGTTAGTCGAGTATGTTTATTTTAACAGAATATTGTGTTCTAAATATCGATCACAATACAATGTAAAAGTTAGCTTGAATCGAATACATTGTATTGAATACAGTCACATATGCTAAAAAGCATATGGTCTTATTTTTGTCCTTCGCTTCATTGATCGTAGGAAATATTTCCCGTTTGTTTCAGGATTCTATTCGTATTTTTATCGATTGCTCAACACTCTACGAAAGGAGGTCAATGTTTTCAGTCGAGGTTATACACGCGGTTGAAGATGACATCACCGCCGCATAGTATGCGTGACGCAATCGGTTGTGGCAACGTCATGTTTCAACTTAGGCACACCCAAATATTAAAAAATTTTACGTTTATACCATTTTATGGAACGTTTACTAGTTCATGCATGTTTTTGAATTATAACTAGGTTAAATTGATTATAATTCGAATTAGTCTGAACCAAATAAGACAATTCAAATCCAGCAACTTGTATTTATAGTATTTTTTCCTTGTCAACATAATGGAAAACATTTATAAAACTGCACGTAAGCTGTATACGTAATGTACGTAAGTGCATTACGCCTTGAAAACTCTTATCATTTCGCATTTACGGTTCGAACATACTGTGGTTACAATATCAATACGCTTGTCTCGATAACGCGACATGTGCCGCGATTCTTTGAATGAGCATATGTACGTTGCATCGATACAGTGGCGAGAGAATGATTTTTACGTTTAGCATATTTTGTAAGATTAACTAACTACTTCGTACATTATTATTAAAATATTCCATTTAAAATAATTAAAATGATGATATGGTTAATGATGGAAAATTAACAAATTTTTGTGCAACAAATAATTCTTTGAAACTAGATAACTGGAATAAATACAAAATATGTTAACAGAATTAAATCTATAAAATTGTTTTGTTGTTAAAATCTATTATTCCTAAGATTTTCGTATAACACCGATCTAATGCTACTACAAAATAATCAGTGGCAGGTGCCTCATTAAATATTCATGTAGATATTTGTGTTACTAATGTAATCGTTCTTTATAGGAACAGGAACTGGTAAATATTTTGATGTTGCAATCAACAGGAATTGGTAGCTAGATTTATAATATGTAAATATTTTGATGTTGCAATTAATATAATACCAACAGATTTAGATGCACAAAGACAGAATATAATGTTAAAT